TATTTGGTCGAGGATTCGACTTTTGTTGATTGAATTTTTATGTATAAAACCCGAATTTAATATTTTTGAATCTAAAAAAAGAAAACAAAAAAAAATAATAATTTAATTGTTGACAATTATTTACATTATTATAAAATATATTAATAGGACCTAATTTAAAATTATTGCCTATGGCCCCCGAATATGTTGGGCTGCCCATGGATTTGGATAGAGGAACCTGGGTGGGCGTGGGTTGAGTCCCACAAATCCAAATGCCGCTAACCTTTTTGGTGTGGAACTGATCAGTGACTCTATGTCATGATATGTTTCCAGTATCATGGCCCTTCTCAGACAGATGTTTGGTGCGGGCACCGAGAATGTGGTCTCATGCATTCATTTTTCCCCTTTTCCAATTTTATTGTTATTTTATTACTTGCTCTTGATTTGTAATTCTTTGTTGGTTCTTCTGTAGTTATGTTTTTGGCTTTTGTTATATGCAGGTGAGGTGAAGGTTGAGAACAAGACTTGGAAAGTTGATGTGAGTTATGCTCTTCTTAATTTTGTCTCTGTTTTTCTATATGCATGTGTACAATACCTTTCCATGTGGTAAGAAAAGAAAAGAGCATTAACAAGGTATCCTATGATTATGGGCAGTTATGTTTCTAGTGCAAAAATCAAAAATTCATTTCGGTGCATAGTTTCGATGAGTTTGAAAATATCAACATTTCAATAATATTATGAAGCCAAAAAAAATATTTAAAAATTTATTTTCAAAACATTGGTTGAAACAAACGAAATATAGGTTGAAACACACCGAAACATATGAATTTTGATATTCAATCAATGATTTATTTCGATTTCTATGGAAACGAAAACATTTCTGACGTTTCGATATGAAATTTAATTCCTTGGGTGAGTCACAGGCAGTTTGAACAATAGATGCATGAGGTTTAACTCTTTAGGGTTCACGCCTTGCAATTTGCCATTCATATGCTTCAAGAATGCTAAACAATAAAGAAGATCCAAGTTTTTTGTCATGACATTCAAGAATGCTAAGCTTGAGTGTTCATTTGGATGTTGAGTTGATTATATTGAGTATTCTTTTTGTAAAATTTGTAGGCTAATTTATTTTCAAATTGATTTTTTTTTAATTATGAAATAGGTTTATAGTATCTTGATTTGATGAATGTTAGAGTTATTTATATTAAGATTGTGTGTTAATTTAATGTACTTCCATCATTTTAGGGATTGTGTCAATTAGTATGAAATAGGTTTTTATAGAGTCTTGATTAAAATTAAGATTTGTGTGTTAATAGAATGTTGTGCGTTAATTTCATTCTCTATAAGATTTTTAGGCTAATTTGTTTTCAAATTGAGTTTTTAATTTGGGTGTTAAACAAGGTTTGGAAATTTCACAAACTTTATTCATGTTTTTTTTTAAATTATGAAATAGGTTTATAAGATTGGATGTTCATTCAAGTGTTTCTGTTATTGCTTCAGTGAGTTGGCTCGGTGGATTTAACAATTTTGATGTAAGTTTCAACAAGCTTGATTAAGAAACAGAGACTATCTTTGGCTCCTCCCTGACTCTCGCTCTCACCCTCCTTCCATCCCAAAATCCCACCGCCTCAACACACACACACACACACATCTTTGATTTTGTAGCACACACGCACAAGCTTGATGAGGGAACAGAGGTGTTTGCAACACACACACATATTTCTCCCTCTCTCTCTTTTGTATTTTTTTTTATTATTATTCTTTGTTGAATTGTGTAATTTAATCACATGTTGGTGTTGTCCACTAACTATCTATTATTATGCTCCATAGGACTTTTTTTCTTAGTGAATTTTGTTGTCGGTTAATGGCAGTAAAACAAATGGCTAACAAATTCCTAGCTTTGGAATGTTGAAGGTAAGTGTTCTATCCATGGGCTTTGTCTCAATGTGATTAGTTGTGTATGTATCAATCATGCCATTGAGTATCTTAGGTAGAAAGCATAAATATGTAGCTCGCTATCAAATTTGGGGCTTAGATAGCTAAGAAGTGTGTACTTTCTTTGCCTTCAATTAATTTCAATTATGGGTCAATTTCTTCAATGTTATGATTAAAGGTCTCTATGCTTGAACATGAAATTGCAGTTCTGGGCTTTATGTTAACACTTTAAAAGGTGTCAATTTGTGGTATTTAATGGGAAACAATAAAGAAAGGTTTGCTTTTGAATAGACATAGAATAATCATATGGGTGTGATAAGATGGGAAATAAATATGAAAAAGCCCAATGCACCAACCCAATTTTACTAATATTGCTAGCGTTGTTATAGAAAATCTAGCACTACCTAATTTATATTGTTTTTATGAGTTTTGCTATATTCAGTTGGTCTCGGTTTAATCTTATTTGGGTCATGGATTATATCTTTTGTTTTTATTGTTAAGTTAAAAATTGACTTTTATTTGTAACAAGAAAGCAAGTAGACTTGAAATGTTTTCAGATTCATGTGTTTTATTTTTATTATGAAATTAGTATTTTTATTACTCTTAGGAATTTCGTGTTTGTGGTGGTCATTTGGACAACTAAGATTTTTATTTTTATTTTTGTTTTGTTCTTGATTAAATATGGTGACTTTTGATAATTTTTGTTTGTTGTTCTAGCTAATATTATGTTTGTAGTATGATGTTCCATTTGACTGTATGTACTACAAGTAAGCATAAAACAAAAATTTCAATTTTTTTCATTCTCAGTTTCTTTTTATTATGATTATGAATAATATTTTTTGAAATTTCTATAGACTCTTTACATTTGATCTTTGTTTATACTATGAAAGCCCGTCAATTTATGTATCGACTAGATAATTGATAAGAGCGACCATCCAATATATTTGTTCTAGATTAAATATGGGACTTTGATAATTTCCATTTGTTGTTCTAGCTAATATTGTGTTCGTAGTATGAGCTTCCACTTGACTGTACGTATTACAAGTAAGAATAAAACTCAAATTTCAATTATTTTCATTCTCACTTTCTTTTCATTAGGATTATGCACAATTTTTTTTTTTTTTTTTAAATTTCTAGACGCTTTACATTTGATCTTTGTTTATACTACGTAAGCTGTCAGTTTATGCAGTGACTGGATAATTGATAAGAGCGGTCATCCAATATATTTTTATTAATAGGTTGTTTTTGCACTTTGTCTGTGAAAGCAATGGATGTTGTCTGTAGATAAACGGAGCTCTCTTAATGTTTTGTCAATGCTTTAGAATTTTTATATTGTGTTGCTTCCAAGTTGTGTTTGTACTGGCACGTGCATTAGTTGAATGTTACATGTTACAGTTATTTTGATAGAAGTGGGTGATTGAATGATGGTGGTTTGATTAGATTTGGTTTAACAAATTTGGTTTCATTCTTCATTTCATATGGATTGGTATATGCTTTACCAATGTAGTTACTATGCTTTGAAACTGTAATCATTTTCTCTCATATTCCATCAATTTGATTTCTTTTGTTGAACTATCTTGCAAATTTTTCGTTGTAGGATTGTAATAGGAGATGTTGGACACTAACGGATCAAAGTAGGAAACATATCTAGATGGTAAGGTAGGGGTAAGTTCTCATATGCACTGCAATATCCTTGGTCTTCTTTGAATATTATTTTGTTGCAGTGATATTTGTTGAAAAAATGCATATGCGATTCATGTGATCCTTGCAAAAGTAGAAAGAAAAATAAGGAAATTGGATGTTTCAAACATGTTGAAAGTTTGATTAACATATCAATTGTTTTATGTATTACAGGTTTTTGAAAATGACGGTTTTCTTAGAATTTTGATCCATGTTAGTTTGGGGTAGGTTATGGCCTTTGTAAAAACTCTCAATTCATTCTACTTTGTTCAATTTTTATTAGATCTTTTAAATTATTGCTAGATATATATCGGAGCTAGAGTCCATTGGGTCTACAAGGCTCCAATACTAAACCTTTTCTCACACCAATGGCTTCTAAAAAATCTAAGATTTGATTATGACCTTAATGAGTTTTGTTGGTTCAGTTAAATTTATATAGTGAGCTTTACTTTGGTGATTTTTCAACACAATCTTAAGCTAATATAATTATTTTGTATGATTGTGAACAATAAATTTTGGTTATTTGGTTAGACTTACATATATTACATGTAACTGTGACATTTGTTATTATGATATAAATATTATTTTTGTTTGACTTGAATAGTGACTAAAATATAATAATGTCTTTGCGTAAGGTTAAGGAATTTATTCTTTGAGATTGTGTTGGGCAATGATACATATAATTAGATATATAAACTTTGTACACAAGTTGAGATTATTCGGAATTCTTTTTTTTTTTGGTCGAAAATAGCAAGGGTAAGTTTGATTTCAATGTCTTTAATTAAAACAAATGGAGGAAAAGTTATGATTATGAGCGTTTTTTTAAGTTTCAAAGTGTCGGGTAATTACTAGAATATTTATATCACTTATCAAACATAAAATTTGATTGAATTTTATTTGAATCCCATGTGTAAATCCTTTGGGCTGGGTTTGGAAACGTTCCATAAATTCAGTCCAAAACCCCGCAAATTAAACATCCAAACATGCTATAAATTTAAGTTTGTTAATCTTTATAAATATGTGACCGAATCATTTGTTACTTCGATTTAGTTTGAGCTTAGAAATATAATCAAATTTGATTTATTGTGCAATTTTATTTTTTTAATCAAAATTTATTGTGCAATTTTATTTACTGAAATGTCCATCATTGTACAGTCGATGTGAGGTTTGTTTCCTTTGCATCTCTGAATACTTTCCAATATCAAGGACATTCGTTTGTGTTGATAAAGTTCATATATAATAAGGTCTCTTCAGACCCTCAAACAAAAACTATACTATAGAAATAGATTTCAGAAAGTGTTGAATCAGCCCAGAATAAGATGATCTCGCAATTACCCAAAATAAAATCTGACTGACCTCATAGCTTCACTCCATTCCTAAATCAACGGCTGTGAATCGACCGAATCTCAGAAATCAGAGCACCCACCGTTTCGTTCCCAATCGCCGAAGCGAGTAGGTTCGGGACCTCCGATCTCACCGGTCTCTTTATTCACTTGAACGCCATCACTGTCCTCATATCCTCATCTTCAGCATCGCCATTGTGAGTATCGTCATCTTCACTTTCGAGCTTCTCTGAGTTTTCCGAGACCTCACCTTCTGGTTCCTTGGGGTTTTCTTGATGAGATTGTTTTCGCTGCGTCGAAAGACCAAATAAGTCGAATCGCTGAGGTCGAGGGTTCGGATCTGCCGAAGGATAGAGATAACTTTGGAGGCTTGGAAAGCTCGATTGCTGATGTGAATAGACGGCCCAGATTGCTCGCCATCTTCTTCTTCGTTTTTGTCTCCGCCGCTAGAAGAGAACTCTCTCTCGGTCCCCAGAGAGAGACCGGCGGCGCCTGAGCTTTAGACACATGAGGCGGTGGGACTCGTCCTTTTCTGCAACGGTGTCGTTTTGGTTGTGGGCCTTGTGGCCCAAACTCACACCATACACCAATCAAATGGGCAATTACAAGGCCCAATTTCTTTGTTTCATCATTAATCCAGCGTCTTAGAGAAGCTTGCCATTGGTCAAAAATTCTAAATGGGCCTTAAAATTCAATTCAGTTCCATCCAAGTAGTAAGCATTGGTTTTCCGGGGGAGTGGATGTATCACCATCTTGAAGCATACCATAATCTTACTAAGAAACAAGAAGAGGATCGCAGAATGGAAGGGTCAAATGCCTGGAACTAGACTTCATTTTTGCTGTTATCATCAATATTTTAGAGTGCAGAAA